AGATTCCAGTCTGTAACTCCCTCCCGGGGGGGTATCTGTTATTCTGTATATTACTCCCCCCGAACCCCCTCGATTAGATTTCAGTCTGTGAGACGCTGATTGAGCTCGATGGAGCCTGTGTGGTCTTCTCTGTCTCTCACAGTCTCTGATTGTCGCTGAAGTGCCCCCGTATCACGAGCAGACCCTTTCGGCCCCTGCCCAGGTCTGCTTCCTGGTATGTAACGGCAAAAGGAAGAGGAGCCCCTGCCTGAGTTTCCAGTACCTGCCTGGTAAGTGCCCCCTCACCCATGTCGCTGTTTGAGGGAGTTTCTGAAATTGGGCGCCGCTTCTGCCGCCCTCACCCGTTTGCCCCTCATCCACCACCCCCCCCTGCTCCCCGGGAATGGGCAGCGTGGGCTCTCTCTGCGTCACCCGCTTGTGGGCATTCGGTGCATGCACAGCAAGATGCCACGAAAAGGAAACTCCCTCCATACCATGGGCGTTACGCCCGCGATTTCTTCCAGTTTCACCGCATCGCAAACACTCGCGTCTACACCGCCCTTGAGAAGGTTGGAGGGGGAGGTGAGATGCCTTTTGCTGTAGGGTACACCCACAACAACGTCCCCCTCAGGGAGGGAATTCCAGGGATTCGGACCCGGCCACACTGAAGGGACGGCCGATATATTTCCGAGTCGGGATGGGGAGTGGGCTCGGAGGTGGGGGAGCTCGCAGGGGGCTGGTGTTCCCATGTATCTGCTCCCCTCCCCCCGTCCTTCTAGATGGTAGAGGGGCAGTGGGGTTCAGGAGGGTGCTGTCTGAGGAGCCTCGGTGAGTCTCTGCAGGGCGTCTTGTTGATGGTATACACTGCTGCGGCTGTGCCTGAGCGGTGAGAGGGGCAGTGGGGTTCAGGAAGGTGCTGTCTGAGCAGCCTCGGTGAGTCTCTGCAGGGCGTCTTGTAGATGGTACACACTGCTGCGGCTGTGCCTGAGCGGTAGGGTTGGCGGGGGAGGATGCGGGTGTTGGTCGCCGATTCCTGATGATCACTTTTTGTTTGACCATTTCCCCCCACCCTCCACTCCTTCTTTCTCTCCCTTTGTCCTGCTTCGTCCCGACCTCAGTCCATATCAAGACAGAAGACGCCAGCGAGGAGTTCGAGCCCAGAGCCCCCAGCCTGTGCCATCGCCCAGCAGAGTACCCGTTGCCCCCTGGAGGAGGGTTGCTGGAAGCTCGAGACCTCGGCCCAGTCCCCCTACCGGGGGATGAGGAGGAGGCGGCAGGACTTTCTGCATTCCACCAGCATCCTCTTGGCTTGGGCCCAAGACCTGAGTCCTACAGCCCGAGGCCCGAGGCCTGCGGCCAGCAGCCTGAGGCTTACAGCCTGAGGCCTGAGGCCTATGGCAAGAGCCCTGAGGCCTACAGCATGGGTCCTGAAGTCAGCAGTCCAAGGCCTGAGGCTTACGGCCAGGAGCCTGAGGCCTACGGCAAGGGGCCTGAGGCCTACGGCCCAGCCTGCCTGCTTGAGGCCCACGACGGGCTCTTCCAGCCGTCCAGGCCCTCGGCTCCAGGACAGCCTATTGCCGGGTCCGATGGCGGTCTCTTTCCCTGGGACCCACACCCCCACTGCAGCCCCTGCTCACCTCACAGGGCCGGGGGGCGGGCGGGCCTGGTCTCGCGGTCACCGGGCACGGGGTGCAGCGGAGAGAAGCAGGAGAGAGCGACGATGACAGAGGAAGAGGAGGAGATCCACGACTGCGAGGTCCCGTTCAGAACCATCTCCATCCAAGGTATCACCCTGGATGATGGTGAGTGTGGAGGGAGCTTTACTCTGTATCTAACCCTGTGCTGTCCCTGTCCCTGGGAGTGTTTGATGGGGGAGACAGTGTAGAGGGAGCTTTACTCTGTATCTAACCCTGTGCTGTCCCTGGGAGTGTTTGATG